TGAGCTGGCAGAGGAAGTTGATCAAAAGCAATGTTGTCATCTTGGTGACCTTTCACCCAAGAGAAGGAGCATGTGATGGTTGGAGACTGGATGGTTTGAAAGATCTGTTCAATCAAGTCAAATTCTGGTGCGAGAGTAGCATTGGCATAGGCTTCCGTGTATTCACATCTGGATTGGAGTCTAGTKATTAGYGCCTTGCTGTCACTGAKAAAAGTAACCTGTGTTRGACAAGKTKKTGWGGTGCCARRAGAYRAAGATGAACTKGAGATACTTGTATCAGAAGAGGGCGAAGGCGAAAGATGATGATACTGGTCCTGAAGATGCATATCATTCAGCTCACTGATAAAAATTYGGAAATTTTCCAATTCATTGCCTACTTGAGAATCAATTTGGAAATTTCTAATTTTTCTGTGATTTTGAGGGGACAGTGCTGGGGATAGGCATGGGGAAGCTGGATATGTTTCTGCATGGTATCCATCAGAAAATAACTTGTTGCCCAAAATGGTCAAGTTATTTTCTGAGGCGTGTAATGAGCTTGCATCATTGGTACTGGTGTCAGACTGTGTATTGGTCGCATCAAGTTGAGATCATGATTTCATTCCATATTTGGAATGAAAGCAAGGTTTCAGTTCATGGTGCTGTTGGTGAAGATGCGAGACAAGTAGAGTGACAAAGAGGCTGGCTGATAACAATCCAGTGGCTTCGGCGCGAAGAGAACTCTCACTGCCAAAGCAACTCATCTGCCAACAATAATCACTACCCATCATAGCTAKTACTACTACTASTASTAGTAGACAAGAACAAATCAATGAACCCATCCATCATTCCTATTTTAGAAACAGCAAACAGCCCTAGTTTTTGTTTTGGTGTCTATTTGTTTCTCAATTCTYWTTTTATTTTTCCACCTTTCACKCACCTCTTAGTTTTTGCTCCGTAGTAAGTAATATACTTCATACTTGCATTAACCAACCAATCATCATCTTTTCATCTCACTGAAAAATRGTGTACAGTACTGTACGTTKCTGTGACATAGGAGTAGTACTACTAGTACTACTCCTATGTCACAGCGACGTACTAGTATGACCTGATGGACCGTATCGGCACAACATCACAGTATTGGGTGATTCCCATTGTTATGATTATAGAATGATAAATAAGAATTTTTAGCAATTTATAATATCAGGAATCAAAATTTCAAGGGACAGACAGCAAGGAAGAAAGCAGGCTTCATCTCAGTCTTGTTTTTGAGAATCTGGAATCTTATACGTCACRTAGTTTGTAATGACTAAAAAGAGGTCTGGGTACTACTAGGTACCGGTAGGACTTTGTGTTGAATCTTACAAAGAACTTGAAATTTTGATTCTTGTGTTCCGTCATAGATCTAGTACATTTAGAATTAGAAAGGGTCCAACGACCCATTCTAAAATTCTAAAAATGCTAAATGTGATAGATTTTTGGTCTGTCTGTCCATCAAATTTAGCATTTCTATTAACKGGAATCACCCATTGTAGATTGTGATGCAGCATTTTTATGCTCCTCCTACTCGTACCGTACGGCATACCCCAGAAACGTTGTTTTATGCGTAATGAGTACCATATTGTAGTACGAAAATTCAAGGAAAACCTCACAAAATGACAAGCTCGTATTCACGACCAATGATGTTCACGATGGCGAAAAAAGAAATATTAGATCTTTTTGGAATATCSGAGTCATCACAGGACCTTATCCGAACAGTGGTGACAATTGCTCTTACTATCTTGTCGTATTACGTCCTTTTTGGAAATCGGCACATGCGCAAGCGTCAGAAATTGGCGAAGGAATTAGATGTTGCAAAAGAACAACTAGCATTTTTGCAAAAAAAACTGAGCGATCCGACCGAGGCGAACACAGATGGCGAAGAAAAGAAGGAAATACGCATATTTATGGAAGGTGCATTCGATCTAATGCATTTTGGTCATATGAATGCATTTCGGCTTGGTCGATCACTTGGAACGCACCTTGTAGTCGGGGTAAATTCAGACGAGTCAATCACGGAGTGCAAAGCGGCACCCCTCATGAATAACGAGGAAAGACTCGCGATGGTGAAATCCTGCAAATTTGTCGATCAAGTTGTCCCAAATACTCCTTACATCATGAAAAAGGAGTATATTGACTACATATTTGAAACCTATAACGTTGATTACATCATTCACGGAGATGATCCTTGTATTGTAGATGGGAGGTAAGTAGAAGTAAATTTACGTATAAATTTTGCGAGAAAATGAAGTAGATTTTCTCATGTCAAGAAACTCCTCTTTGATGTCGATAAATATTGACGTTAGGGATGTCTACGAAACTGCAAAGAAGGCTGGGAAATTTCGAACTATACCAAGGACAGAAGGTGTTTCAACGACTGATATATTGGGTCGAATGTTGCTCCTTACGAAAGAACACCATATGGAACGTAGAGCTGTCAGTGCGCTTGGACGACAATCGAAATTTTTGACAACTACGAGATTGCTACAGCTATTCAGTGAAAACGTAAARTCACCAACTGAAGATATGCGAGTTATTTATATTGATGGATCTTGGGATATGGTAGGTCTTTGCATCAAACTTTATGACTGTCTCGTAAGCTATACTAGTTGGCAATTTGTTTTGCTAACAACCATTTTTTCTTTTAATACGATAGTTTCACCCTGGTCATGTGGCACTTCTAAAAGCAGCGAAGGAGGTAAGAATAAGTAGAAACATCCCCCTTACTTTCTATTATGACTACTTTTTGGTATCACTTCTTCTGACACTGTATTTTCCAACGATTGTTGCTTTGCCTTGGAAACAAAATAAGCGCGGAGATTACCTCATTGTCGGCATACACGGTGACGTTTGTGTCAATAAAATCAGGGGAATGGTAAGTTATTCTTCATTTTACKATTTGTGTTACACGTACTTCAAAGGATAAGGTCTGACGTCATTAATTCTTTATTCGTTGCAATTGCTTACATTATGGAAAGAACTTGCCCCTATTGGTAAGTACATTGTCACCCGTTCCGGACAACCAATCTTTCATTCAAACCTCACGCATCTTTTTGAAATCAATATTTTTCCGTACCGTAGAATCTTCACGAACGCGTTCTGAGTGTGTTAGGATGTCGCTATGTAGACGATGTTTTGATTGACGCCCCTTATGAAATTAGTGCTGAAATGATYGCATCATTGAGGATCGCAGAAGTCATMCACGGAGCCTGTGACGTAGACGGGGAATACTGTAGCGACGAAGATGATAGATATATGTACGCAAGGGAGAAAGGAGTATTTCATACGGTTAAAAATCCCTGTTCTTTCAGTTTGAAAACGATCTTCGAGAGAATTCGCCAAAACCAGAAGACTTTCCAAGCACGGTTCGAAAGAAAGATGAGCACTGAGGCGGAACATTACAAACAGAAATACAGCCATAACGAATCGAACTAATTAGTGAAAATTGAAGGGGAAGGCGAGCCACAGTTGTAACCGAAATAAACAATAACTCTGAAAGCACCATTGTATCTCGTGGTGAACTTTTAAATCTACAAAAGAATTTTAGTGTCGTCTTTTGAGTTTATATTTGACATCATCGCCAAGTCTTTACTCCTCGCTACTGGATGCGTCCCCAGTTACTCCGCATTCCATATCCATTCTTTTGCTATGTGCCATGAGATTCTCCCTAGTGAATTCGTGCGGTTTATGGAAGTCCTTCAAACGTTTCCTCGGGGGACCTTTGCTGCCACCTCTCGAAATAGCTATTTTTATCTCAGACTCGTCAGTATCATCGCTAGAAGAGTGATCCATTTTGTCGGACTTGGAGTCTTCGTGTGAACTTGATGATTGCTCGATTGTTGGTTGCGACGACGTGCTGGATGATGTCTCAGTCACTGTCGCTGATTTTATATTCCGTTTCGAAGATTGGAAGTGAGACAGAGAAGTTATAGGATCAGAGGTCTTCAGTCGGTCGTTTGTTGCTTCACGTGGAAGATTGTGATTCTTCCTATTATATTTCTCAGGCGTACGGGTACTGGAGTCTRTGTTATTTTCTCCGATCATTTTTACCGATTTGTATGCTTCAGTCGAAAGTTGTTCTTTAACTGACATAGGWGCGGACTTCTTTTCACTGTCGAAACTACTTTTTTGTATTGCTTCGTTGCTTCCTACTTTGGCTTCCACGGCGTCTTCGTATGATTCACGAAGTCCTCGTATAGAATTTAGAACTCCAAGCAGTATTGCAGCTGCCTCTTCGTCCGATGTCTTTTTCTGACCAGATCCTCCTTCCTCTTCAGTCTTATATACGTGCTCTGATTTATGCCTTCCAGCCTCTACCCCAGCTGGATCTGACTTGGTCGGTACAGGAGATATTGACTTTTTGGACGGYATTTGCTTGGAATTTTGTTCTTCTGCTCTTTTTAAAGATGCTAAATGTGCCTCATAGCTCCGCTGCAACTGTTCCGCTGGGCTGATAGTTTTCTGCAATGTTTTCGAATTGGTTGATGCGGAGATAGCAGAAGTAGTCGAGTCTCCCCCCTTCGTAGYAGCTTCAACGTCAGAAGAAAATTGTTGTTCTTCCCACTCTTGTGCATCCTGTAACGACTTCTCGTAGGCCAATCGAAGGGCTCTTTGTTGTTCCTCAAAAGCAGCCTTTAGTTTCTTAGTGTGTTCTTCCTTCTTGGAAACAGCTGGTATTGAAGAAACTTTTTTAACTTTCTCATGCTGTTGCTGTTGTTGCTTATGATGCTTTTGTTGGAGCTGCTGATATATTTGTACATTTTCAGGTCTTTGCTCTATTGGAATCGGTTGCGATGTCCTRTTCATATTGGTTGTAACATTTGAAACATTAAAGTTGAAAGTGCTGCTTGGAGGTGCCGACTTCATTGCTCCAAATGCATCGCTACTACTACTTGGCGATGTAGTCGATCCAGGAGGTTCACGTATTGACACCCCCACCTGCTGTTGTGTAAGTGCTTGTGACAACGCATACGAAGCGACAAGATTGTTCAGCATCTGAAGAGGAGCTGCTGCGGCAGCAGCTGCCGTTGACGATGAATTGTCCGAATGTGCTCTATTGCAAAAGAGTGAAGAAGTATATACAAAAATTTGTGAGACACTCGGTACGTGTAGTGACAACGATTCAACYCAGTCAAAATCGTCCTTTTACTAACCTGTCAGTAGAATTCTGTAGAAGTATTTGTCCCGCGGCCAAGAGTAATGAAGGGTGTGGAACATTGAGATTTGTAGCGGCAACGGGACCGTTGGTACTCGGAATGATCGCAGTTGGCCCAGGTAAAAGAGAGCTCTGGGCAGGGGTGGGAGCAATTATTTGGTTCTGCAGCCAAGGATTTGCTGCTTTCACTGTAGTTCCACGTTGGAGTGAGAATAGTGATGGAATTGCTGTGGTAGCTGTTACTGGCGGTTGAGATGCTAATAACTCATGTCGTGGAGGCAACGGTAGGCCTGTTTGCTCATGTTCCACTCGCAAACGAAATCGCTGCTCAAGATGCATCAATTCGAAGTTAGCCATTTCCACCTCAGCAGGAGAGGCTCTTGGACGATCACGCAAATGGTAGGCACGCCGCCCTAGGCAACAAGCTCCTGTGAACTTTTTAGTTATTCTCATCGGATCACAATTCAACTTTTCYGCTAGATAGGAGCGGAGAGTTGCTCCGTCCGGTAGAGTTAGCAGCCCCGTACTAAAGTACTGAATGATTCTTGACGTATATTCCTCTTCCTCGATCTGCACAAAATTAACAACACAAAATGAGATTTCATTGTCTGGACTGCACAAATTTAAGGATCTCTTGAATATTCAATAGTGCAATCAATGCATCATGTACTCTTACCGTCCATTTCCCTTTACGTAGTCTCTGCCGTGCTTTCTTAGCATTCGTAMCGGTACCAGTGGTAGAGCCTGAAGTGCTATTTTGTGGCTTTGGTTGAGATTTGTTAGTTGTAATTTGCTGCTGCTGATTCGTTTCAGGTGGGTCCAAAGCCGACGTTGCTGAAGCGGAAGACATGCCATTACTCTGTGCTGATGAATGATCTGAATGACAATTGTTATCGGTGCCAGATGCTTTGTCTCCACTATTCGCGTCATACAATTGATTTTGGCGCGACTCTATGCCTGAAGAAATTCGCAGAGCACCATCGCCTTCCGGATTTGCTGTTTCATCCATCTCGGCTGCATTGCTTTATAGCAAGAACGATGGCCACGCTTCTTTTGCTATTGAATCAATAACGCGAAGATGCTCAGTACCTGAACAGAAGAGTTTTCCTTCTCTTTTTCCAATGTCCTATCGTTTATTGTACATGAACTGCCAGATGGTGTTGCTGTTGATGTTAACCTTGTTAGAAGGTTGACCGTTTGKTATCGATCGGTTGTGAAGTAGTTTCATACTCAACTCAGTATGAGTTGTACTCGTACCATTTGTCGATGGTGAACTTCATTTGTCACCAGCTGAAATGATGTTCGACCGCTAGTTCAATGTTCAATAGTGGAAAAACTGTTTCTAAAATGTAGCAGTTGCCATTATCCTGGAATTAAAGCGACTCTTCAGCAACGGTTTGCAACCGGAACGATGCTAGATTGTTAGAGAGTGCGTGTTCATGGTGTCATTCGTTGTCATCRAAAATCACTTGCATCTAATTATAAAAAAATAATTTAGATTCTTCTTATGGTCGCATTAATGACGCACATTTGGTCGTAGTTTGATTCAGAATTTGATCCTGCTGACATCACTTGGTGTCTCAAATAAACAATCGAGAAAAGCCACTCATTTCCTGCGACTAGGGAGGAAGAGAGTTGGTCAAAAGCAAGTAAACTCAACGAACTTCTACGGTACGAATTTAACTTTTGTTATTACTGAAATAATTTGATGAAGTAAGACTACGTACCGTAGGTACGTAAGTACTTCCTCCGTCCGGGAACAGGTGTCCGGTTTGCACACCTCTACGGTTTGAGTAAGCTCAATATTTGATATTTGGGCCATTGGAATGCTTCTTTTTGCACTTATCGGATCTATTTTAGTGGTATACACTTGTATTAATTGCAATAGGTTTAAAGCATTGGTGTGCTCTTTATAGCTATTCAAAGAGGCCCTGTTTTGGCATATAAATGTGATTTTACCATCATTTGGCTTCTAGCTGGCATTTACTACTAGTACTACTAGTAGTAGTAATGACCCCAAGTAGTACAGCTATGATAGAAACAAGCTACTAAGTGTGAGAGCTTTATCATGATATTCTTATATCACTCATTGGTGGTCACTAGAGAACCCAAATATTGTGCGGGCACATACTCGGGCGGTGCCGTGCAGTTTTCATGTTTTTTTTTTAATTTTGAGCTGTTGGAGAGGGGATTTGAAGAGAAAAAAAGAAGTGCTGTTTGCATGGTGCAAAAATGATCCCTGTGTTATTTTCATGTGATAATTTCACTCTTGATTTCACTACACCTCCTGATTGCCTCTTTTTGATGCCTTTATTTAATCATCTGCAAAGCAAAACTTTGGTGAAACTCACTGTACTAGCTCAGCATTACGTTGGTTACCTTCCACCACTCCTCACCTAGGCTACCATCAGTACATTCTTTGCAGATGTTGTAAGCTGTAGCAATGGCCAAGAAGGCTTTTGCATGATTATCCACAGCATGGTAGTATTTCCACAATTTGKAACTGATATTGGCTCGCAAGATGTATGCATCGATATGGTCCAGTTTTCCATACTAGTACGTATAAAGATAAACTTCTTTGCAAGACTCATTCATTTCATGCTGTCTGTAGGATATCAGATTGTGGGTATGATTCATATCTATGACACGTACATATTATACATACCTATGATTCATACACACTCTACATATATGATTCACTCAATCCTATGGATCCATATGATCAACATGACTCAGTTGATTCACTTGTGTGAGTGACTTGACTCATTCGATTCACATATCACTCRATCTTCATTCTGATTGGTCTTAGATTTCATAGTTTGTCAATCCTTGATAAGAGCATTGACTCACTTTTCTTCTAGCGCATGATTTACATCACTATTAGATAGTCACTCCCACATTTCAATGCCCCATTGCCGTTTGTCATTTCTCCTTCCCTTTTCCTTTTGATGAATGTAAAGAGATGATGATGATGAAATAGAGTTTACTGAACCTAAATTGCATGCTCCAGTGCTCTGGAATGAACAATGGACTCATATGTAAGCTTTGGTTCCTTTCTCAGGATCAGCTGGTACAGTTTTCACAGCAGTGATAGGCTTAGCAAGATGYGATGTCTTTGCTCCCTGTTTCYCRTTTGAATCCCCAGCGGCCTTCTTCTTATGAAAGTACTTTCCAGGAACCTTGGTGGGCAATCTGTTCTTAGCAACAGTTCCCATCATCCCCAACCCTTGCTCACCCATCCAATCTAAGATGGAATCTGATACTAGGAAGAAATTGTCAGCGTTGATGTGAGGAGGAGATCTCCACAGCTTGCCCAATCCAATGTTAGCAATAACATAGTTTT